AGAACAGAAAAGAGCGTTCTTTCGTGTAAACATTTTTCTACCAAATTCGAGTTTTCTTGAAATAAAATGTGAACAATTTTGAAATGCCGTTTTTTAACACAAAATAAATTTTGAAATTACAAAAAAAATGGAAAATGTGAGACAATCTTTGTAAACCCAAATAGTTTTCGGAACATGTGAAAAACTTTTGGAATTCCGAACATCTTCTGACAAATGTGAACAATTTTTGAAATCATGAACTGATTTTAAAAATGTAAACAAGACTTGAAAAAATCCAAACACGTTTTGAATAACATAAAACATTTTACAACTTGTGACCAAAAATATTAAATAAGAACATTTTCTAAACTTCTGAACAATTTATGAAATTCACGGGCATTTTTATAAATTCCCAATTTCTTTGAATTTATGAACAAAATTTTACAAAACGTTTTTTGAAAGTTTGTGCAAATTTTGTTCAGGATTAAAAAATATCCCCCTTTTTTTTAAAAACTTTATGTTTCAAAAAGTGTTCTCTTTTTAACAGTTGATTGTGTTTTAAAAAATGTTCATTTTTTGAAAGTATTCAGAATTTCGAAAAGTGTTTAGGTATTTCAAAAAAAATTATATCTCCAAGATTTGTATGCTATTAAAAATATTTTCAAATTTCGACGCTTCGGTCTGTGTTAACTACGTTGGGCTTCTATTTATATCACTAATAGCAAGTGGTGAAAGACTTGATTGGTGATGATGGTTTGTCTGGCATCCATCATTTCTGACCGTTAGATCGCATCTAATGACCGTGAGGTAAGTTGTGGCCTTCTTGCAACAATAATCCACTTCTCTGCTCCAATTTGCAAAAAAAAAAAAAATTAGTATCTCGAAACCAACCACATCCCTCCTTCACCTCATCAAAACAGTCTGAGGAATATGTTTTTAGTGAAACATAATATATTTTTAATGATATATGTATATAAAAACTAGAGTATTTTCTTTCAAGTTTGTGAACAAGTATTATTCTACTTTGGATCTGTTGTTTAGGGTTTAGGAAAAAAGAAGAAACTAACAAGTATCATTTTGGAACTCTTTTCTATTTATTATTCTACGCATGTGCACATTGCTAATTTGGAAAAAAGTTCACGAATTTGAGAACATGTTCATATATATTGGGAAAATGTTCATGAATTCAAAAAAAAGTTCATTGATTTTTAGAAAAGTTCACGAATAAGAAGAGAATTTTTGGATTTTTCAGAACCAAATTGTGAAAAATAAAAAAGTTCAAGCATTTGCAAAATGAAAAGAAAACAAAAATAAATAGAAAAGAAAAGAAAAAACTGAACAAACCATTCCAAAAAAGAGGGGGAAAACTGGTTTGCTAAGCTTTCTGAAAGCGGGGGCTTCGCGTATTGTAGAAATAATAAAAGGAGAAAAACGACGTTAGTTGTCACAGGCGGTGCGATTTCCTAATGGTCGGTGCATGATCTATGAGAGTTGAGGTCCCATGTTCGATTTTGTCGCCGCGCAACTTTTTCCTCTCATTTAGCAAAGAAAGAAAGAAAGAGAAATGGGCCGGCCCAAAGCCTGGAGGATGTTGTGCGCCGGTTTGCAAAACTCACATTAATAGGTGAAAAAAATATTAATGGGCGCCAAATAGGGAATGCCGTGTACCGCTTACTTGCTGCGATCGCTCACTAGTGTAGGAACGTGGGCTAGCTCATCAGGGAATTGTAGCGATCGAAGTGATACACGACATTCCCTAGTCATTCGGAAAAAATTATGCCGGTCACTTGAACCAACGGACGTCATCACCAGATGTGGACCAAAGCGCCATTTCTGAAATGTTTAGGGGGTTCTGCAAAACTCACATTGACCAATGTTGACCATTAGATTCATGATCCAATGGTCCAGAAGTCCGTATCATGGTAGCACCTAATAGTGTGGTAGCACCTGATATGCACTCTATGTCTCTCAATGGAGGGCTACAAGTCTACACTTGATAACACTGCATGAAGCATCTCTGCCACGAACCTTCCATCCGGCCGCAACTCTTGGATGATGATGTAGGCGCAGGCGCAACACTACGAGCACTCAACAAGGATAGTAACATAAATGAATATCATCCGGAGGACCGTTAGTTGTTTAAGTGGCAGGTAGTCCATGTAGGCTGAGCGCTAATCTTCCTGGCAGCGGCTGTTTAGTTGGGTGCATTTGTTTATTTGCACAGGACAAGGAATAGGAAGCAGCTACCTACCTGCGGTTCCAGCTTCGGAGAGCCCGGGAGAGGCTTTTGTCATGATAATCTAAACAAGTCCTCTCGTCAAAGTTTATGCTTCCTAGCTTGTCCAAAGTGTCGATGAAAAAAAATCTATAATGTCTTGATTACATCTAATGTATTTGCTCATGTACCTGAAATTATTGATCTAAGTTCCCTAAAAGAAGGGGATTGGAATTAAAAACGAGCACTGATTGGCTGAAAAGAAAGGATCAAAGCAGAGATAGTAGTGCTGTTGCTAATTCATGGAGTATATATTATGTGACCAATCGCGCGCACTAGATTCGGATTTGCGCAACTTTAACAGGCAAAGACAAGGCAAGCCAATCAAAGAGATGACTGTCATTAAAAAGAAATGGAAGTGACGATCACTTGATAAGCTCGCTAGGAAGGAGGCCGGAAAACCTCTGGCTGTCGTATACTCGCACTCTTCTTTTTGTCTTTTGCCCGACCGGCATAACGACCAACTTTTTGTTAATACTAGGGGAGAAACTACCGAAAACGACAGTGTTTTGGTAGCTCAGATGAATATGCATTGTCAGCCCGGCGAAGAAGAAACTCAAACGGCATAACCACCCTCCTGGATCCTGATCCATCTCAGGAAAAGAAAAGGATAAGACTGATGAGACAGACAGTGGCAGTATATCGGGCACAAGCCTCTTGTGGATTTTCTCGTTAACCGGTCAAAATTTTCTGCTGGATGAAAAGTCGGACCTCCGATCGGCCGCTACACAAAGTAGTTTCATCGTGGCAGTGGCTTAGCACAGGTTTCTTCTACAGGTTGCTTACTTTCCGCGGCTTGCTTTGGGCTCCTGATCAGTGGGTTTGGGATCCTATCATACCATTAAAACATAGGGTGTTTTTGTGGCTTGTCTTCTGGGGACGCCTGAATACTAGAGACAACATGGCACGGAAGGGCTGGTCAGTGGCTGCCTCTGATGCTGGATGCGATCTATGTCCCGCACTTGAATCGGTTGATCATTTGCTGCTTCGATGCCGTCCGGTAAGCACCTTTTGGGACAGGCTACTATTGGGCCCGTTGGCTCTGCACTCACCTGATATCCAGACGTTTGTCCGTCTAGCAGCAGATCAGCTTGCTTTCAAACATAAATGGAATGTTGTCTTTGCGGCTTGTGCAGTCACTGCATGGCAAGCTAGGAATGACAGAGTCTTCAACAATACATACTGGACATAGCCATTTCTTAGGTTCCCTGCAGCTGACTTGATACGCCTATGGTCCAACCGAGCTACAAAGCAGCGAGACAAGGATAATCTGCTTTATTGGGCTAATTTGATCAACGGCTAGGACAGCTACCTATCTTTTCTCTTACTTTTCCTTTGCCTCCGTTTCCCTTCTCTTTGTTCCAGGCTGCTTGTGGCCTTGCACCCCGGTGCATCATGCAAGCAATGTAACCAAACTTTCCCAGGCCTTGTGCCTGTTTTCGAAATATAAGGTAGGCCTTTGAGCCACCTTCTCATTTTCAAAAAAAGGTTGTCCAATTGTAAGGAAAAGGGTTCGGTAAGCTGGCAATGAGAAAGAAAGGCAATGCGAGGGAAGGAGGAAGACATCGAAAAGAGATGGGAAAAGTGTAGGAAAGGGGACGATGAAGAAGCATAGGGCCGAAGAGGAGGAAGCACACCACTACGTTGTGGCAAAACCCTAAAGACGGATCGGCAAGAGCAACATCTAGTTATACAACAACACTTCTTGATGATATGAGTTATATGTGTGTACAAAGTGTGGCGTAAGCTTTTGAAGGCATGCCACTCAAAAGCTTACAAATAGTATTAGAATGTAACCATAATCCAAAGAGATTATTCAATTATGTGTGTTGGGAAAATGCAAGTAGAAAACACCGGTAACAAGAAATGCTACTACAACTTCTGACTACATTCCGAAACACTACTATGTCCATTTCAACTCAATAATGGTCATTTGACGCACGTATTTGTTTACATATTTTTTGTTCGAGCAAAATACCCGGCCCCTACCCTGTGAAGGCTCGCAGACAGTTAAGAGCAAAAGAAAAGCATAGTGAAAGAAGTATGTTGCATGACATTCCATCTATTACGACAAGAACGTCATAAGAGAAAAGAGTAACGATCGATGGGGAAACGGAAGCACTGCAGGCGGCAAGGATGGAAAAGAGAACAATGGTAGATAGGAAAATGGGGTTGCTGGAGATAAAATGGGGCGGAGATTGTAGGGGAACAAATGGTGGCAATGGCCGTTTAGCGCTACGACACTATGGATGAAATACTTGTTCAAGTTACCACTTTTTATTGTATTTTCTTTTTAAATAAAGGATTTGATATCTTTTTGCCTCTACAATGCATACAACATTAGTTTACCATCCAAGAGTTTATTTGTGTTGATACGATCATAAGGTGATAAGGATGTACTGTAGTACTACTTTGGTAGTGACAATTGCAATTTTCATGGGCGTGGTTAAAGGATGTGAAGAAGCGCGATGCCGATGCCTTGGTGTCTCGTCGTATCCCGCCGCCCTACGTCAGCGCGAATGCGGCGAGGCTCTCTCCACCGGCTGGTTGCGTCGCAGTCCGTTCCCTTATAAATTACTCGGATCAAATCAGGAGGTTTAAGTAGGTGACGCAGTGGTGAGCTGTATAAAAGCCCCGCGCATTTCCTGTTGCTTGCCAAGCCCCGCAAAACCCCGAACCAAGCAGGAAGCAGCCACTGCTTCTCCCCGCTCTGTCTCCCCGTCGATCAGGCTCGGCCGGTCAACCCATGGAGCAGCATTTCACCGTCACTTTCCCGCCCGGATCCTACTACCAGCACCACCGCTACGCCGCCGCCGCCGCCGCCGCACCGTCGTCTAACTACGACATGAGCGACATGGACGACATGACCTTCCTCGGCACCCTCTTGGAGTCCACGGGTCATGCCTCCTGCTCTGGCCCCTCTCTCTCTTCGAGCTCGTCCTGCTCCGACATGACGGGCATGGGGCCTGGCGCACCACATGTGCCCGCGGGCAGCAGCTCGCCGAAGCGCCGTGGTCACCAAGCCACCGCGGCCGTGCCCATTGCCAAAGACTTCATCGGGGTGCGCACGCGCCCGTGGGGCAAGTTCGCCGCCGAGATCCGGGACTCGACGCGGAACGGCGCCCGCGTGTGGCTCGGCACCTTCGGCAGCCCCGAGGCGGCCGCCATGGCCTACGACCAGGCCGCCTTCTCCGCGCGCGGCGACGCCGCCGTGCTCAACTTCCCCGTCGAGCGCGTCCGGGAGTCGCTCCGCGCGCTCGCGCTCGGCGCCGTCGTGGGCTCGCCCGTGCTCGCGCTCAAGCGCCGCCACCGCACGCGCAGGCGGTCGCCCAACAAGAGGCCCGTGAAGCAGCAGCGCCGGGTTGCGGCCGTGCAGGAGGCAGCGCTGTCTGCGACGACCGGCGCGGTGGTGCTGGAGGACCTCGGCGTCGAGTACCTGGAGGAGCTCCTCCGGGTGTCCGAGCCGCACATGGGTCATCTCCACACAACGGCGACGGCGTCGTCCTGACACTGCAAGCTTGTCTGCTTGGATTAGCATACCTCCCGTGGGTTCGTGCCAAATTAATCGCATGCTACTTCTTACTGTCTGAAGAAAATGCATGTGTATACAGCGCATGAGTAAATTCGTGTACGCCAGGCCTTCTCTTCTCAAATTTTAAAAATGTCTACGAATTAAAAAGGTTCGTGAATTTATGAAATGTTTGCAACTTTTCAAGAAGTGAAAAAGAGGAAAGGAAAAAAGGAGAAAAAAAAACTGGAGGAAAACCACAGAAAACCGGCGGCAAATCTACCTATAGAAAATTAGACAAAAGACGTAAGAATAACATAAGTGCATCTTCAGCCGCATATGACAAATTTCACCCCTCATAAGTCTGCGGATGTGGGCCAATCAACCATCATTTTCAGACGGGTGCAATGGCATACTTTAAATTTCATAATCCAAATCCATACTACACCATGCAACTCAAAAGCAACGTACTACTACATCGCTATAGCCTAAACAGTCGGCGGAGATGTAGGCATCCTTCGTGTCGGCAATGCTGGATAGACCGGCCTCTTGATCATTGGCTGCCGCATGCAGCTTCGGCTCCTCGTCGGACTCCATGTCAGCGAAGAGTTCGTCGCGCTTCGCCTTCGCCTCATGGAGGAATCGATGGTTAGCCTGCACCTCTGCCTTTGAGCCTATGGAGTCGAGGATGGCCTGCTGCTCCATCGCCTCCTCCACTTGGGCCATCTCAATCCGTGAGGGCATCACCCATGCCGAATTTGGCAGCCAGATCAGCCTCACCTTCCTCCCCTGGCACCGCGCCCGTCATGTCTGTGTTTGATGCTTGCTCATGCTCCTTCTCCTCTGGAGAGTCCAGAGGTAGGCCGTCTGCAATCCGAGTGGCGCGCCTGGCCCAAATCTCCTTTAGGAGCTCGAATCGCCGCTCCGGAGCAAGCATGATGTACGTTGTGATCAACTGTCGGGCCATGACTACTAGCGGATGGTGAGCTCGAGCGAATTGGACAGTGGTAACACGGAGGGGGGTGGAGGATGGAAATGGGACTGGCTAGGGTTGGGGTTACGTCATCCGACTTAAATAGCCGGATTGAAAGTCTCGGGTGGCACGTCGAAGCAACGACACTCACTGGACCTCGGTGTTTGGACGTGTGTCCGTGTGGGTCCCCATATCAGGCCCAAATACGGGTCAGGTATGTGGAGTGTCAACCAGTCCGGGCGTTTGGATCGGATTTGCGAGGGCTGGTTGGGTGGCAATTTTGCATCCCGACAATTACCGGATAGCCCGCCTGACCGGTTTGGGGTGGATTTGAGGGCTCCGGTTGTAGATGCTCTTACCTCTCCCGGCGCTGCAAGCAAATTGTAGCGGCCCGGCCCAACCAAAGGTGAAGCAGGGCTCACTTCGCCTCTCGCTTGGCCACTGGCAAATTGCTCGTACACACACATTTGGCTGAGTAGGCTTGTTTAAAAAAATCTAACTGAGTTGGCTGGTTGACCAATTGACCATTGACTTTTAAAAAAAGTCAATAGAACAACAACAACAACAAAGCTTTTAGTACCAAACAAGTTGGGATAGACTAGAGGTGAAACCCATAAGATCTCGCGACCAACTCATGGTTCTGTCACATGGATAGCAAGCTTCCACACGCCCTTGTTTATAGATTTACAAAAAGAAAGCAAAAAAAATTTCACTGATTTGAAAAACTTCACAAATTTGACAAAAAAGTTCATGAATTTAGGAAAAAATCATGAAAAAATTGTTCATCAATGAATTTTTATTTCATGAATTTGGAAAATTTTCATTGGATTTTCAAAAAATCACAAATTTGAAATAAGTTCATTGATTTTTTTAAAAAGTTCATCAATTTTTTAAAAGCTCATCAATTTTAAGAAAAGGTTCATCAAATTTTAAAAAGTTCGTGCTTTTTGATAAAATCAAGAATATTAAAGTAAAAAGTAAATAAAAATAATTAAAAAAAATAAAAGTAGGAAAATAACAAAAAAGTGTAAATAAATAAAAGAAAAGAAGGTAAAAATGAAACGAAACATGTTCTAGAGAAAATCCAAATCAAAAAAAGAAAAAAAATACCAGCTGGGAAGCTTCCGAAAACAGGAGAGGGGAGATTCCGTTAGTGCATTAAGATTGCCGGCCCATTTAGATCGAGAGAAGAGGAGGGGGGGGGGGCAGTAAATAGCCTATAATGGGCGCGTAAGACACCGAATAGGATTTGGCCAGTTCGGGATAGTTTAGCTACCATTTCTTAAAGATGCATATATTTGGAAAATTTGAGAACAACACAATCAAAATTTGAAAGCACAAATGTTTTCTAATACTTTTTTCCAAAAATGTGAATATTTATTTAAAACACGAATATTATTAGAAATGTTGGGAACATTAATTAGAAACGTGAATATGTTTTTTCATTTTTTTTGATATGTGATCAATTTTCAAACAATTTTTTTTCTAACTTTCGGCACTTTTTTAAAGAGGAACTCAAACCCCCCAAAAAAACCGTAGAGCAGAACAGAAAAACTAGAATCTATAGCAGCTAGCATGGGCCAACCCAAAACACATTGCCCTCCATTTTGCTGGCAATCTACCACAAAGAGTGGCAAATAGGAATTTTCAATAAGGACAACCCGTGCAGTCTAGTCCAACTAAAACAATGAGGACAACTTTGCGGTAGAAACAAAACGAGCCTTCTCGGTGCGTTATGAAAAATGGTGCTACACTCTATAGAGTTGTTGGGCTTCCCTGAAGAGGAAGGGTGAAATAGTATAGTAGCAAATAGTATTTTTCTCAGTTAAGAACCAACTTTTATCGAATCAGAAGAAGACGACACACAAACAATATAAGCAGTACCCGCACACACGCAAATCAAATGTTTGCACCCAACTAAGGCCAGGGGTTGTTAATCCCCATGTTCTCGCGAGTTGCAAGGATTAAATCTGATAGAGATAAACAAATAAAATAAAATAAGGTAAAGGAAAAAATGAGCTATTGTAGGATTCTTAGTAATAATGGAAGGGGGGGGGGGCGCATAGTTCCACTAGAGGAATCTCTCTCATAAACATATCATCAGTGGTTAAACAAATTATTGTTGGGCCATTGACAGAATTGCACATGGTCATGATTGTGCTTCTTCATGGCAAAATTCATATGTAGGCATTACGTCCGTGACAAGTACATAGACTATTAAACTTAATGACGTCTACTACTATTACTTCACCCCATGACCACTATCCAACATGCGCCTCGAAGTATTAAGTTTATGATAAATAGAGTAACTCATTAAGCAAGATGACATAATGTAGAAGAGTAAGACCAAACAATGTGTTTAAACTCCATTATTTTATCCTTAGTAGAAACAATAGAATACGTGTCTTGCAACTCCTCCTGTCATAGAGTAAGGTCACCACAAGATTGGATCCACTACTATGCACCACTCCTTGTGAAGATCTACTCATCCAATTGGCCAAAGAAGAGTTATAGGTCAGAAAGCATAAATAGAAGTAAAATTATACAGCAAATAAATCTCAAGAGACTCAAATAATATCAATCAATAATCTAATCATAAACCTACAATTCATCGGATCCCAACAAACACACCGCAAGGATTACATCAAATAGATCTCAAAGGAGATAATTGTATTGAATATCAAAAGAGAGACAAAGTCATCTAGCTACTACTATGGACATGTAGGTCCTGAAGGAACTACTCACACATCATCACGGAGGCAGCAAGGTCAATGAAGATTGCCTCCCCCAATGGTTTTCCCCCTCCGACAGAGTACCGGAAAAGGCCTCCAGATGCGATCGCGGAAGAACAAAGTCTTGCAGCGGCGGAATAATTTTTTCGGGTCTTGCTTTTTTTTGGAATATTAGAGAATTTATAGGACGGGAATTAGGTAAAACAGATCCACATGGCCCCACAAGTGCTGATGGCGCCCCCCTACAGGGCACGCCACGTGAGCTTCTAGGGTGTCTCATAGTCCATAAAAAATAACTGTAAAGTTCCATCGCATTCGGACTTCGTTTGGTATGGTTTTCCGTGAAACAAAAAAAATGCAAAAAAAATAGGAACTGGCAGTGGGCACTAAGTTAATATGTTAGTCTATAAAAATGATATAAAATCACATATAAAGCATACAAGAATGATAACATAATAACGTGAAACAATTAAAAGTTATAGATACGTTGGAGACGTATCAAAGGGCGACGCTAAGCGCTGTTTGGCCGATCCAACTTTCAGCAATAGCATCCCGAGCACGTGATGCATTGCCCTTCAACCGTCAAAGAAAGTCCCATACTTTGTCCCTTCCAATGTGTCGTCCCCCCCCCATCCCAAATATCATGCAACTGCGTGAGTGCTGTCGAAAGCCCTGTCCCCAACCATGGGCCATCCATAGTCGTCGCCACCTCGTTTTTGCGGCTCCGGCCCGTGGACGGGTCACCACTCCGACATAATGCCTCGTAGCATTGGCTGGCAGCGATTGGAACTTGTTGCGCCATGGTTGCAACACCAGGTGCGCTGCCCGCCGCTCTCACCAATGACGCTCGCCGCCGGGTGCATGCCACTCGTGACACCATGGTTTTAGCAAAATCAATTGTTGGTCCCAACATCGCTATCTCGCTATGGTTGCGTGATCGCCACCTAGCACCATCCTCGCTGGTTGAAGAAAATCCCTTGGCCGGTTTCAGCACCGCACTTCACCGGTCCTAGAGCGCCTCCGCATTGCCGCCTTGTCGGTTCCAGCACTGCAACTCACCGGACGCAACACGCCACCTCATCGGTTCCGACATGTCGGCACGCCGGTTCCATCTTGCCGACTCATGGTCACAGCACACGGTCCTCCCTCCGCCGCTGAACCATCGCGGGAGGACACCCAGAGCATGCAGGTGGTTGAAGCAGAGAGCTCGACCATGGAACCTGGCACCAAGGCCTCTCCATGTCGTTGAAGAGGAGGCACGACGCTGACAACCTCAGCCACTAAAATAGGCAAGG